CTTAAACACTATAGACAAATACCGCATTCATTTTACTGCCGAATCCTTGTTTTCAAAGTCTTGGGCATAATTTTCAACTCATTTTCTTAGTTATCTAATTTCTTATGTTGCAAAAATGACGACAATACTAAGGAAATACCAGAGCTGAGGAATAGACATATTTATAAAAAGTAAAGTAACAGAGGCCGAGTTTAGCGGATTCAGATTCCAACAGATTGGACATACAAACTACAGACCACGTATACTGTACGACGTCTCGCTTATGTTGACGTTACTGGGGCCGTATTTTTCAACTCAAGTCTGTGAGATCTGCAGTGCATACTAATTTGCATATATATCTGGTTAATATTCATATTCATTCTGCTTCAGTCTCAACTATTCATTCTTTATCAAATTTTGGCGAACATGCCTAGGTTTGCTGCCACGAGTACTCATGTACGGTGGGAATATATACTCAGAACTAAATAGGCTGAGGAGAAATTATCATCTGACATCGGACAAAAGTATGAAAAATTAAAAAGGAATGATTCATAGGTGGGACGGAAACCGGTATATTTCTATTCTGATAGAAACCATGTCATATTTAAAATGTCTGGCTTGCACTATTCACCGTTAGTGGTGTTCTCTTGTATCCTAAAAAGTCGTGAGCCGTGGTCTGGAAAATCTATATTCCAAATCCTGTTAGATACGGAACGCATTATAGATTTAAGATTGATATTTTTTAGCCAAAAATATCAACTGATATTATTTGAGTTTCGCATCGAGCATGGGGCGTAGACATAGACTTAATCTTAGATTGTTAATAAAGGTAAAGCATAGAACTAAAAGCGAAAAGAATAAATATTGAACACATAGAAATGGACGGACGAAAGAAAGGACTTATAAACATATACTTAACTAACACCACACTATAATCATTGATTCTGGGGCAAGATTGACGTCGATGCGCAAGACTTAACTAGCCTATCCCTTCATCAGAATAAACGTGGATTGTGACAACCAGCAAAGCGTAGTTAAACCTCTCCTGTTCTGTAAACTAACTTTTCCTCATTTAAAAGATAATTTCAAAGCATTTTTAAAATTATATGTTTTTAACAAGGACGGACATAAATAACAAGTAAATGTTGGGTTTCTACTACTGACACAGTGTGTGGGGCAGGCTAGTGGTTAGTCCGTCTGCGGTCGGATGTCTATTATCGAAACGATCACTGAACAGTTGATGTGTCTGTCCTCGTCAATGATTTACCATTCTGACAGAGAAAATTTCATTTTCCGTGTATCTCCATCAGATCACATGAAAATAACGATGATTGCATACGAGTGCATTAGTCGCCATCCAACTCAATCGTTTAGATATTAATGGCCGAAATGAGCATTGACAGAAGGAGAACACAAGTCAATCAATCTTCTACATTGAAAGGAATTCAAAGGGACAAATATGGAATTTCGGGGGGTGAAATATGAGTAATGAAGAAAAATGATAAATGAAGGATATGACAAACTTTTATATCTAGTGTGCTTTATCGCATGGCTGTGTGTGTGTGTGCCTGATGGATGTTTTATAAAAACAACGGGCCGATTGGAGGAGCGTGAAATTGTCGTGCATTCCCTAGAGATGTTTGTATTAATCGTTTATTCCACGGCGAGACAAGGTCACGACCATAGGTCCGCGCGCCTCCATCCCAATCAGTAACCTCTCGCCACGCGCCATCATAAACCGAGGAATCGAGATCACCACCCCAACAAAACACATCTAAATAGGCTTTCATATCAATATCATCAACTCCATATATCCTGCGTGATATATATACCTAGTGGGAGCTATGTGTATAGCTAGTGTGAGATATATATATAGCTGTTGTATTATATGTATATAGCTGTTGTGAGATATGTATATAACTAGTGTGAGATGTTTATAGCTAGTGTGAGATATGTGTATAGCTAGTGTGAGATATGTATATAATTGTTGTGAGATATGTATATATCTAGTATGAGATGTATATAGCTAGTGTGAGATGTATATAGCTGTTGTGAGATATGTGTATAGCTAGTGTGAGATATGTATATAACTAGTGTGAGATGTATATAGCTAGTGTGAGATATGTATATAGCTAGTGTGAGATATGTATATAGCTAGTGTGAGATGTATATATAGCTAGTGTGAGATATGTATATAGCTAGTGTGAGATATGTATAAAGCTAGTGTGAGATATGTATATAATTGGTGGGAGATATGTGTATAGCTGGTGTGAGATATGTATATAGCTGTTGTGAGATATGTATATAGCTGTTGTGAGATATGTATATAACTAGTGTGAGATGTTTATAGCTAGTGTGAGATATGTGTATAGCTAGTGTGAGATATGTATATAGCTAGTGTGAGATATGTATATAGCTAGTGTGAGATATGTATATAGCTAGTGTGAGATATGTATATAGCTAGTGTGAGATATGTAAATAGCTATTGTGAGATATGTATAAAGCTAGTGTGAGATATGTATATAATTGGTGGGAGATATGTGTATAGCTGGTGTGAGATATGTATATAGCTGTTGTGAGATATGTATATAGTTTTTGTGAGATATGTATATAACTAGTGTGAGATATGTATATAGCTAGTGTGAGATATGTATATAGCTAGTGTGAGATATGTATATAGCTAGTGTGAGATATGTATATAATTGGTGTGAGATATGTGTATAGCTGGTGTGAGATATGTGTATAGCTGGTGTGAGATATGTATATAGCTGTTGTGAGATATGTATATAGCTGTTGTGAGATATGTATATAGCTGTTGTGAGATATGTATATAACTAGTGTGAGATATGTATATATCTAGTGTGAGATGTATATAGCTAGTGTGAGATATGTGTATAGCTAGTGTGAGATATGTAAATAGCTATTGTGAGATATGTATATAGCTAGTGTGAGATTTGTATATAGCTAGTGTGAGATATGTACATAGCTGTGTGAGATATGTATATAGCTAGTGTGAGATATGTATATAGCTAATGTGAGATATGTATATAGCTAGTGTGAGATATGTATATAGCTAGTGTGAGATATGTAAATAGCTAGTGTGAGATATGTATATAGCTAGTGTAATATATGGGTATAGCTAGTGTGAGATATGTAAATAGCTAGTGTGAGATATGTATATAGCTGTTGTGAGATATGTATATAGCTAGTGTGAGATATGTATATAGCTAGTGTGAGATATGTATATAGCTAGTGTGAGATATGTATATAGCTAGTGTGAGATGTATATAGCTAGTGTGAGATATGTAAATAGCTAGTGTGAGATATGTATATAGCTGTTGTGAGATATGTATATAGCTAGTGTGAGATATGTATATAGCTAGTGTGAGATATGTATATAGCTAGTGTGAGATGTATATAGCTAGTGTGTAATATGAGATGGAAACATTTACTGAAATTCCGGTTTTTCGTACAAAATTTTGACAGATAAGTTACATTGCTGTATACTTGTAACTTAATTGTTTTATAAAGTTAAATGGTGCATAAATAAGGCCTGATTGTGATGAAGAAGTTAACAAATAAAGCTATACCCGGCTGTACCCTGCACCAATCCCTCCTGCTGTGTATCATTGTTGGTGTTTGGTTGTAGAACAAGGGAGGCTACTCGTGGTATATTGATGGTTGATTCACAGGCGATGCAGTGTCTCATTCCTGTATTTAACAATGAGTTGTACATCCTCTGTCAGCTGTTAATATTTCATGACTGCTTTGAAATATCTAACATATTCAAATATATTTATTTGATTCTGCACCAAAGCTAAGAAAGATTTCTTATAATGAATATCTACTTGTTTGGTAAGTGTCAAGTCGTTCTAACTGATTGTAACATATACTTGTAAACAGAATGTGTCGATCCGTAGATCGACTTATGTAAATTTTTATATGAGACTTCGTGTATACTTTCCATATTTGGAATATTGGTCACATCAATCTTAAATTGTAGACGTAATTAGACACTATCGCACTGAAACTAGGAGCCTCTAGACTCTCCTGTAGAGATCAGTGTATCCCCGTGGTCTCTAGACTCTCCTGTAGACATCAGTGTATCCCCGTGGTCTCTGGACTGTCATCTAGACATCAGTCTCTCTCCGTGGTCTCTAGACTCTCCTGTAGACATCAGTGTATCCCCGTGGTCTCTGGACTGTCATCTAGACATCAGTCTCTCTCCGTGGTCTCTAGACTCTCCTGTAGACATCAGTCTCTCCCTGTGATCTCTGGACTGTCATCTAGACATCAGCCTCTCCCCGTGATCTCTAGACACTTCTGTAGACATCAGTCTCTCCCTGTGGTCTTTAGACTCTCCTGTAGAAATCATTCTCTTTCCGTGGTCTGTATACTCATCAAGACATCAGCCTCTCCTCATGGTCTCTAGACTGTCCCCTAGACAACAGCCTCTCCCCGTGATGTCTAAACAACCCTGTAGAAATCAGCCTCTCCCCGTGATGTCTAGACAACCCTGTAAACATCAGTCTCTCCCCATGGTGTCTAAATTCTTCTGTAGAAATCAGCCTCTCTCCGTGGTCTCTAGACTTCCATATATACATCTGTCTCTCCACGTGGCCTTTGGACTGTCCACTAGGCAACAGCCTCTCCCTGAAATGTCCAGACAATCCTGTAGAAATCAGCCTCTCCCCATGGTCTCTAGACTGTCCCCTAGGCAACAGCCTCTCCCCGAGATGTCTAGACAAACCTGTAGAAATCAGCCTCTCCCCGTTGTCTCTAGACTGTCCCCTAGACAATAGCCTCTCCACGTGATCTCTAGACACTCCTGTAGACATCAGTGTATCCGCGTGGTCTCTAGACACTCCTGTATAAATCAGCTTCTCACCGTGGTCTCTAGACTTCCATATATACATCTGTCTCTCCCCTTGATCTCTAGACTTTCCTGTAGACTTCATATTCTCCCCGTAATGTCTAAACTTTCCTGTAGACATCAGCCACTCCCCATGGTCTCTGGATTCTCATTTACACATCAGTCTATCTCCATGATCTCTAGACACCTCTGTAGACATCAGTCTATATCCGTGATCTCTAGACACTTCTGTAGACATCAGTCTATATCCGTGATCTCTAGACACTTCTGTAGACATCAATCTCTCCCCGTGATCTCTAGACACCTCTGTAGACATCAGTCTATATCCGTGATCTGTAGACACTTCTGTAGACATCAGTCTATATCCGTGATCTCTAGACACCTCTGTAGACATCAGTCTATATCCGTGATCTCTAGACACTTCTGTAGACATCAGTCTATCTCCGTGATCTGTAGACACTTCTGTAGACATCAGTCTCTCCTCGTGATCTCTAGACACTTCTGTAGACATCAGTCTATCTCCTTGATCTCTAGACACTTCTGTAGACATCAGTCTCTCCCCGTGATCTCTAGACACTTCTGTAGACATCAGTCTATATCCGTGATCTCTAGACACTTCTGTAGACATCAATCTCTCCCCGTGATCTCTAGACACCTCTGTAGACATCAGTCTATATCCGTGATCTGTAGACACTTCTGTAGACATCAGTCTATATCCGTGATCTCTAGACACCTCTGTAGACATCAGTCTATATCCGTGATCTCTAGACACTTCTGTAGACATCAGTCTATCTCCGTGATCTGTAGACACTTCTGTAGACATCAGTCTCTCCTCGTGATCTCTAGACACTTCTGTAGACATCAGTCTATCTCCTTGATCTCTAGACACTTCTGTAGACATCAGTCTCTCCCCGTGATCTCTAGACACTTCTGTAGACATCAGTCTATCTCCTTGATCTCTAGACACTTCTGTAGACATCAGTCTCTCCCCGTGGTCTCTAGACTCTCATTTAGACATCAAGTCGTTTACAATTTTGAATTTAATACAATATATTATTATTTATTAACTTTTGTCTACGTTTTAAAATTATTTCAAAAGGCGAGTGCGTTGTCCCTGCGCAACCTGACTCTCATCCATGTTTCTGTTGTAAAATAATAGTTCTGCATAAAATGTGTCACGTGAATTACATTATATATACAGGAGTTGACTATGTTTTTTCTTGTCTGTGCCTAAGGTCAATGGTCTTTCAATTATTTGATACCTATCAGATATACCGTATATACCACACACACACACACACACACACACACACACACACACACACACACACACACACACACACACACATGTATATATATATTTGGCGATAGCGTAATTTTTACAATGTTTAGTATTCACAAACAATCTGTACACCAACATACACATTTCATAACAAACTAATGAACACTGTTACAGGATGGAAACAAACCAAAATTATGAAACAAGTGGTTCACATGTCGTTGACGCATGCTAACAATGTAGTTGACGCATGTTCACACACAAAACGTTGACACATATTTAAACATATGTCGTTGACGTATGGTTAAACACATATCGATGACGTATGCTAACACACATGTCGTTGTCGCATGTTCAAACACATGTCATCGACGCAATTTCAAATATATGTCGTCGACGCATGTCCAAACATATGTTGTTGACGTATGTTCACACACGTTATTGGCGCATGTTCACACACAAAACGTTGACACATGTCCAAACACGTGTCGTTGACACATATCTTAACACATGCTGTTGCCGTTTGTTCACACTCGTGTCATTGACGTAAGTTCACACACTTGTTGTTGATACATGTTCAAACACGTGTCGTTGACGCATAGTTAAACACATGTCGTTGACGCATAGTTAAATACATGGCGTTGACATATGTTCACACACATGACGTTGACGCATAGTTAAAATCTGTCGTTGACGTATAGTTAAATACATAGCGTTGACATATGTTCATACACATGGCGTTGACGCCTGGTTAAACACATGTCGTTGACGCATGTTCTGACATATGATCTGTTCACTGAAGTTTAACTTTAGGTGGAACCCCAGATTTGTTTTGAAGGATTGTTGGTTAAATAGTCAGTTCATTATTTGAACACGCCAAAAGATATTTCCATCTTTATGGAATCCTCTCAGTTTCCCACAGTCTTATCAATTCACCTGGTCTTATATGATTTTGGTACACAGAGATTAGAACTATTGTGGATTCAATAGAAGCGACAAGGTAAAAGTGACCGTGTCAGGCGATGAAACAGTCTGTCAACCATTACTAAACTGATAACTATCGAAATCTGCACGTAAGATGTAATCGTTCGGCGCTGTGTGTGACAGGGACCTCTATTGTACAAGATTTAGTGAATCTCGTCTGTTACGTGATCAATATTGTAACATGACTTGATGCGTGCGGTTTGTTTTTCATCGCCGCCGCGGTAATTAACTGCTAAATGTCTATTACTTCTTCATTAGTGACATTATTTTCACAAAATTGACACAACCGAACTGAAGAAGAATCAACATTACCTGATTTAGGCGGAATTCATTATTTTCTACAATTACTTCACTGACTACCGCTTTTGCTAAAAAGCAATCAGTTGATTCCAAAAAGGGATTATCTCCCCATACTTTTAATTCAAAAACAAGAAAAAAATACAATGCAGATTTAAAATCTAAGTACTCCATAAACAGTAACAAATACAAAACAAAAACGGAAAAAACAGTCATGTTAAGTCTACACAGGCATGTTATATATAACTACAGTCTACAGTCATGTTATATATAACTACAGTCTACAGTCATGTTATATATAACTACAGTCTACAGTCATGTTATATATAACTACAGTCTACAGTCATGTTATATATAACTACATGTTATATATAACTAGTCAACAGTCATGTATATATATAACTACAGTTATATATCTACAGTCATGTTATATATAACTACAGTCTACAGTCATGTTATATATAACTACAGTCTACAGTCATGTTATATATAACTACAGTCTACACAGTCATGTTATATATAACTACAGTCTACAGTCATGTTATATATAACTACTGTCTACAGTCATGTTATATATAACTATAGTCAACAGTTATGTTATATATAACTACAGTCTACACAGTCATGTTATATATAACTACAGTGTACAGTTATGTTATATATAACTACAGTGTACAGTCATGTTATATATAACTACAGTCTACAGTCATGTTATATATAACTACAGTCTACAGTCATGTTATATATAACTACAGTCTACAGTCATGTTATATATAACTACAGTCTACAGTCATGTTATATATAACTACAGTCTTATATATAACTACAGTCATGTATATATATAACTACAGTCTACAGTCATGTTATATATAACTACAGTATACAGTCATGTATATATATAACTACATGTTATATAGTCTACAGTCATGTTATATATAACTACAGTCTACAGTCATGTTATATATAACTACAGTATACAGTCATGTTATATATAACTACAGTCTACAGTCATGTTATATATAACTACAGTCTACACAATCATGTTATATATAATAATAGTCTACAGTCATGTTATATATAACAACAGTCTACAGTCATGTCATATATAACTACAGTCTACACAGTCATGTTATATATAACTACAGTCTACACAGTCATGTTATATATAACAACAGTCTACAGTCATGTTATATATAACTACAGTCTACAGTCATGTTATATATAACTACAGTCTACAGTCATGTATATATATAACTACAGTCTACACAGTCATGTTATATATAACTACAGTCTATATGTTATATATAACTACAGTCTACACATGTTATATATCATGTTATATATATATAATAGTCTACAGTCATGTTATATATAACTACAGTCTACAGTCATGTACAGTCATGTTATATATATATAACTACAGTCTACAGTCATGTTATATATAACTACAGTCTACACAGTTATATATCATGTTATATATATATAACTACAGTCTACAGTCATGTTATATATAACTACAGTCTACAGTCATGTTATATATAACTACAGTCTACACAGTCATGTTATATATAACTACATTCTACAGTCATGTTATATATAACTACAGTCTACAGTCATGTTATATATAACTACAGTCTACACAGTCATGTTATATATAACTACAGTCTACACAGTCATGTTATATATAACAACAGTCTACAGTCATGTCATATATAACTACAGTCTACACAGTCATGTTATATATAACTACAGTCTACAGTCATGTTATATATAACTACAGTCTACAGTCATGTTATATATAACTACAGTCTACACAGTCATGTTATATATATATATAACTACAGTCTACAGTCATGTTATATATATACAGTCTACAGTCATGTTATATATAACTACAGTCTACAGTCATGTTATATATAACTACAGTCTACAGTCATGTATATATATAACTACAGTCATCTACAGTCATGTATATATATAACTACAGTTATATATAACTACAGTCTACAGTCATGTTATATATAACTACAGTCTACAGTCATGTTATATATATAGTCTACAGTCATGTTATATATAACTACAGTCTACAGTCATGTTATATATAACTACAGTATACAGTCATGTTATATATAACTACAGTCTACAGTCATGTTATATATAACTACAGTCTACAGTCATGTTATATATAACTACAGTCTACACAGTCATGTTATATATAACTACAGTCTACACAGTCATGTCATGTTATATATAACTACAGTCTACACAGTCATGTTATATATAACTACAGTCTACAGTCATGTTATATATAACTACAGTCTACACAGTCATGTTATATATAACTACAGTCTACAGTCATGTTATATATAACTACAGTCTACAGTCATGTTATATATAACTACAGTCTACACAGTCATGTTATATATAACTACAGTCTACAGTCATGTTATATATAACTACAGTCTACAGTCATGTTATATATAACTACAGTCTACAGTCATGTTATATATAACTACAGTCTACAGTCATGTTATATATAACTACAGTCTACACAGTCATGTTATATATAACTACAGTCTACAGTCATGTTATATATAACTACAGTCTACAGTCATGTTATATATAACTACAGTCTACAGTCATGTTATATATAACTACAGTCTACAGTCATGTTATATATAACTACAGTCTACAGTCATGTTATATATAACTACAGTCTACACAGTCATGTTATATATAACTACAGTCTACAGTCATGTCATATATAACTACAGTCTACAGTCATGTTATATATAACTACAGTCTACAGTCATGTTATATATAACTACAGTCTACAGTCATGTTATATATAACTACAGTCTACAGTCATGTTATATATAACTACAGTCTACAGTCATGTTATATATAACTACAGTCTACAGTCATGTTATATATAACTACAGTCTACAGTCATGTTATATATAACTACAGTGTACAGTCATGTTATATATAACTACAGTCTACAGTCATGTTATATATAACTACAGTCTACACAGTCATGTTATATATAACTACAGTCTACAGTCATGTTATATATAACTACAGTCTACAGTCATATTATATATAACTACAGTCTACAGTCATGTTATATATAACTACAGTCTACAGTCATGTTATATATAACTACAGTCTACACAGTCATGTTATATATAACTACAGTCTACAGTCATGTTATATATAACTATAGTCTACACAGTCATGTTATATATAACTACAGTCTACAGTCATGTTATATATAACTACAGTCTACAGTCATGTTATATATAACTACAGTCTACAGTCATGTTATATATAACTACAGTCTACAGTCATGTTATATATAACTACAGTCTACAGTCATGTTATATATAACTACAGTCTTCACAGTCATGTTATATATAACTACAGTCTACAGTCATGTTATATATAACTACAGTCTACAGTCATGTTATATATAACTACAGTCTACAGTCATGTTATATATAACTACAGTCTACACAGTCATGTTATATATAACTACAGTCTACAGTCATGTTATATATAACTACAGTCTACAGTCATGTTATATATAACTACAGTCTACAGTCATGTTATATATAACTACAGTCTACAGTCATGTTATATATAACTACAGTCTACAGTCATGTTATATATAACAACTGTTTACGTTTTCAGTAGTCTTTGTGCAAATCGTTCTTTTGTACATATTTTTATTGAATTGAGTTTGGATCATGATTATGTTGAAATGTTGGTATTTTCTTGTCTGTGTTATATGCAGATAGGTTCTTCTTATTGGAAATGAACGAATGACAGTGATCACCAGTGTTTGTTTTTAAAGTGATAGTGCCTGAATATAATGACAGACTTGTCAGTAATTGACTTTCCAGTTGAGTCGTCCGAGACTGCAGGTTTCATGGGTCCGCCTGCTCCAAAGAGTTAGGCCAAGAGGTTGGTCCGTGAACATGATACAGAGCGCCCCCTAGTATCTGGGTTGGGAAGGCTCGACATGGCAATACTAAGAACTGCGAACCACTGCTGTTATGCAAGATTAAATGCGTTATGAACCGTCATTTCGCCATTGGCGACGATTGCACAGACAGGGCGAGCCTCCTCTGGGACTGCATTTCTGACACATTAAGAAAAAAAAATTGCAGAATCGGGTCAAGAACAATTATTAAAAATTTTTAGATAAGGTTGAAAATTCAGTAAAAGTGACGTTGGAAGCCTTCAAAAACAAGAATCAATTTGCGTCATATGTCAGAGTGGCCTCCCCTTATCCATCATTATAGGTAAAAAAAGCCTAGCTGTAACTGCAAATTATAGTCATGAATGTTGATAAAACACTCTTGTGTGGCTATCTCCACTATACATGTATAGCATATTGGTCAGGAAGATATCTAGAGAGACATTTTACAATTACTACTTCCATTCATCGAAATATCTCGGCTTTGATCAAATCAGAAATCAGTGTGTCCATTACTGCTGTAGCAAACTTAGATAATCCATGTTATGAAATATTTTATAAAAAGGATCGAAGTGTCTGTCATTTAAATGAAAAAATAGCATATAGTTGGAAGTGTCTTGGTTACGAATCAAAATTTTCCATGACACAAAAAATTTTGTAAAATTTTGTAAGCCTCTCTCGTCTCGGCCCAGACAATAAAACTTGGACACAGACTTCAAGAAAGAGTCAACATATTTTGATCTCAAGATCGGAGTGATCAATCGGTTTTAACTTTTCTAAATCATAATCTTGATTAAATATGACACTTTGAATGAAATCAAAGCAACGGCCACAGGTAGTTTTCTTTTGTCTGCAATTTATCTACATGTACACATATACTCAACAACAAAAGAAACACACAAATTATACAAGCAACAGCCTATATTTTGGGAAATTTGTACAAAATTTTATATCGATGTGAAGGGACAAGTCTACTCTTTACAGTACTGTAGAAGAAAAGTTTGTGACGTCATTCGTGTCGTCAGTAGTTTGTGATATCCGCGAAAAACAAAAAGACATTTTAGTACCTGATGTGGGTACCTCTTGCACGAATCCCTGCACGGATTCTCCTATTGCATCGAATTCATGAGAACATTAATTTGTCTTAAGGGAATGTTGTTCCATTCTTGTGCTAATGCGGCAACCAACTGGGCGCGGATAGGTGAGGGGTCGAGCATTGTCTTGCTGAAAAATCATGTTATAACGTCTGAGAAGTGGAGGGACATCTGGGTTGAGGAACTGGTCTCTGTATCGAACGGCATTGAGTTTCATATCCAGGACAACTAAGGGGGATTTTACTCCATGGGAGATGCCTCCCCAAACTATTACAGCAGCCCCACCCAATCTATCGCGTTCAAACACGCAAGCGTCGGCGAAACGCTCACCGCGTCTGCGATATACCCTTTTTCTTCCGTCTGAGTGATACAGACAGAATCTAGACTCGTCGGTGGACATCACACGCCTCCACCGACACATCCTCAACCTATACGGGCCATGTCTGCGCATCCAGTCAAGACACTCTTATCGCCTCTGTGGTGTCAGAGGTGGCCCGAAATAAGGTCGGCGCGCAAAGATTCTCCCGGCACCCAAGCGGTTCCTGGCAGTCTGAGAACTAACGGATCTTCCATGAGTACCAAAGGTATGCGACTTATGCTCTACAGCAGTCCTGAATCTGTCACACAAGTGCGACAATCGAATCGCCCTGGCCGTCGTGCCGTCGTTACACGCGGACGACCAATCCTGGTACGTTTGGAAACTGTTAATTGTACACGCCAACGCCTAACTGCCGTGCGACAGCTGTTTGGCTATGACCATCCATCAACGTCGCAATTGCCCTACCCCTCTAAATTTGCGTTAAGAGTGGCTTTTCAGTCAATGACGAAATCAAAATGCCAACGTAAAAAAAATGAATATGGCTGAAGTCAGAGTGCCCGTTGAAATAATTCGCTTGAAAAAATCCGGCGTGGTTTGATCACCACGCGTTGATTTGGACTAAACAAGCTCACCATGTCAGACAATGACATCGTCACGCATGACTGATTTTAGGGTAGATTGTAGAATGTTTTCCAATTATTCCTAATTTTACTTTTAAAGTACAAACTGTCTTCCGATGTTGAATTCTCTAAGCCAAATGAAGCTTATTTGAAGTAAGCATTTATTTTTTTACCTTATTTTTTAAATTTTGTTGCCCGATAGTCTGTAAAACAACAGCGATATGTTGGAAGATATTCTCGTTGAGTATGCATTGTCAAATCCATTCAACAATTGAAATTTCTTGGAATATTACTAAGTATAGCTGGTTGAGAGGCATATACCAATGCTTCGCAGACACATTCCTTTGGAAAATAAAACAGCGGTAGTCTCAGTTTCTCAGTTAAGTAGATATTTTATTAGCTGTGTTAACTCAAAGGAAACCCACAATAGTCCTCTATCATCCAACAAGCTGTCAAATCGGATACAGATGATTCAGCTCCATATAATGTAATATCCACACACAGCATTTCGTACCACTACATGATAACTACTCAAGATCAGTAAATGTATATTCCTTTCCCACAATATCATATAGAGTATAGGACTAAGAACGTACCGTCGACCCTGAAACTTCGTCTTCCTTGTGGCACGCTCATAGAGTTACTCTAACGATACAGGATCGTCAGGGGAAGGGGGTAGGGGGTGGGGGCAAGAGTTTAGCTAACATTCAGATGACACAAATGAAGGGACATTAAGGGATATAATGTTTTAAAGGAACGTTGCTATATTTGTCCTGTATTGTAAATACTCCGTCAGTCATCACTTAATCATACTGTCGATAGAGTTACCAAACCATTTTTGCGGCATCATTTCTGAAAGTTCTCCAGTATTTTTCAAGTCTATAAATGTTCGAGGGGTGCAGAGAACGAAAGTGATTGTAACCACTGGAGTATAGAGGATGGTTCCAGGGGTACAGAAAACGAAAGTGATTGTAACCCCTAGTGCATAGAGGATGGTTCCAGGGGTGCAGAGAGCGAAAGCGATGGTAACCCCTGGTGTATCGAGGATGGTTCCAGGGGTGCAGAGAGCGAAAGTGATGGTTACCCCTGGAGTATAGAGGATGGTTCCAGGGGTACAGAGAGTGAAAGTGATGGTAACCCCTGGAGTATAGAGGATGGTTCCAGGGGTGCAGAGAGCGAAAGTGATGGTTACCCCTGGAGTATAGAGGATGGTTCCAGGAGTGCAGAGAGCGAAAGTGATGGTTACCCCTGGAGTATAGAGGATGGTTCCAGGGGTACAGAGAGTGAAAGTGATGGTTACCCCTGGAGTATAGAGGATGGTTCCAGGGGTACAGAGAGCGAAAGTGATGGTTACCCCTGGAGTATAGAGGATGGTTCCAGGCGTACAGAGAGTGAAGGTGATTGTAACCCCTGGAGTATAGAGATAAATTCGGTCTTTATAAAGTTGGCAGTATCGATTATTTACAGTAAATATTGAAGACAGGTGGCATTTTCCAACCAATGAGAAGGTTACACCCACAAAAGGTTCCAAAAGCTACGACAATAGGCTGAAACCTTTACCGTTAGATGTGGCCTAAAACGACAAAACATCAAAACAACAAAATAAGGTCTAACTCTTTGTTCGATTATATTTATGGTTTTAATACAGAAAAATCCCCTTACAGCCGTACAAAATGGACACGTGGTACTGAAGCTACTAGCCAGAGTTGATGGTGAACCGATACACTGGACGTCCAACACTAGTGGCTTTACTAGACCTATCATTTGAGTGGCCACAGAGTGGCAAACTTAATACAATGACAGGATCATCACAAACGATTTGCGGACCAGGTGTAGTGAAAATGTTCCAGAGATTTTTACGTGTTAAAATTGGTCACAAAATCTTAAAACTGAATAAAAAAGTCAGTATAAACACTTCTGATAATTCTTATATGTCCTCAGTATTGCATGCATAAGCTTAAATATTAATTTCAACACAAGTTCACACACATTTAAAATTAACCCCAAAAACGGTTTCGCTGAGAAATATATTTCTATTCACTGTTAAACTGAACATTAAGCCAGAGTATACTCAACAATGCTGTAGCATGACTTGTTGTTGATGTGTGTAACATAACGTCACTTGTTGTTGATGTGTGTAACATCACGTGACTTGTTGTTGATGTGTGTAACATCACGTGACTTTTTGTTGATGTGTGTAACATCACGTGACTTTGTGTTGTTGTGTATAACATCACGTGACTTGGTATTGATGTGTGTGTAATATCACGTGACTTGGTGTTGATGTGTGAAACATAACATGACTTGGATTTTTTTTGTGAAATAGCACATGACTTGACACAATAAACATGTATGAGCCAGGAAATTTAAAACTACAAGCGTCACTTTAGTCGCTATTCTAAATCATCCAAACTTGATTTACATCATAATGAGAGAGTGTTTTATCACCAGCTTTAAATCTCTTAAAAGTGACCCTCCCAAAAAACTGAATTTCATAAAATATCAATTGACACCACACAACATTTGTACAAAAACAATATTAAAAACAGTGGCTTGAAACTAGACTTAAACTGGATTAAAAAAACTCTAGTCAAATTCTGTCAGTTTTGACATTTTTCCAGTATTATAATATGTGAAGAAAAACACTCAACCTTCAGTTCTAAAGTGAAGCTGTGCGACTCCATGTAGGGAATTAGTTTGCTTGTAGTGCAATGGAAGTCAAAGTTAGAACGGAAATAGCTACTGGTAGTTTAAATATAATAGTTACTTATATCCCATGATTTATGTATAAATTGCTCTAAACCGATACCCGATATTCCATTTTTAATTTGGTTTCTTTCTTATAAATCAGGATCTGAAAAAAGTGTTTTCACACAAAACTTCTTTAAAAAAAACTTAATTTAAGTGTTGATTATAAACGTACAACCCTTAACTTACCTAAACTGTCATCCTCACCTGATCAGCTTCCTTTATTTATTTTTTTAAATCTGCATTTATCGTGACAACATATATAGAATAATGAATGAGTGTCAACATAAGATCCTTCTGTAGGGTAGAAACAAATTCCTTCTATTTATCAGACACATAATACACACTACATCAAATCTACCATTAGCAGTGGGGATTATTTACAATAAATAACAATGGTTTTCATGCACAGAAAATATTAACAAAAATAGCTTCAAGGTGACCTTTATAAAAACTCACCCTATGTAGAGGGTTATATATGGTTATTGGTGAACGTTTGTCCTTACAAAATATCGGGACAACACGAGACAAATCTACAAATCTACTTTCGTTTTAGGTATATATATGCTAAAAAAAATGTATATAAATGATTTTATCAAATGATGTTATGATAAATCAATGTTAAAAATCAAATATAAACAATGTAAGCATGTTAAAAATTCCACTATAAACTCTATATCATTTTGATTTTGAAATTCTACGTCAAATTTCACATATTTCAAACTTACATACTGCAATGCTTTGCAGTCTAATATTGATCTACTATCTATAAAAGTTTCCTTTAGTAAAATATGTATAAAAACACTGTTTCTGCAAACTTTACACACACATATATATAAATTTGTGTCTGTTTTTATATATATATAAACGTTCTATATATGATACTGTACTGTACCTACTGGCCTAAATCGCGAGGTAGCCATACCACTATGGACAGGGGGGATAACTCATTAAAAGCCAAAGCTCAATCGTTGTTTTTGCAATCATTTAAATGCACACTTTTTAATTCTTGTATAACTGTTTTACCTGATTTTAAAATGATATCATAAACAAGAACTGTGTAAAAAACAAAAAAAATGGGCGAGATGTAAGCAAGAGTTATTTCCCTTCCTGCCTTACAGGTGAAATAAGACTTTGTTCCCGCAGAAATTAATACTTAAGTCATGTGTAATTGGGTTAGGTAACCATGACGACGACCAGGACAGTAATGTTACCACATAGTGAAATGATACCAAAGCCAATTATGAAAGGAAATGAAACCAAATTTGAGAGAAAATCTGCAGACTGGGAAATGTTACACTTCCGAATAGTAGCACTGCTGCCAAGACTGTGAAACCTGATGTTACTGAGGAGAGCCAGAATCAGCACCTGGGACTCACCTGTTCACACTAATTTCTAGTAAAACTTTTGTTTAATTATATCAGTTTTCAATTTGATTATTTTAAAACTCTGTAAACAGATTTCAATTTTCCATATCTAGGTTGACCGTTGACCAAGTGATGCTTTCCATTTTTTTTTTTTTCTTTAACAAATATAAAACATGATTCCATATCATATCCCTGACTGAAGTTTAAGTTAATGAATGATCCTCGCTAGTGTGTTATACTGATACAATCTGTTTCTAGCTAAACTTTCACCTATGACTTTTGGGTGGGAAGGAGATGCTGTATTTATGTAATTATCCCCTGAGGCTGCCAGGCGTGCCTCACATTCCATTGTCTGGAGCCTAATATCAACAATGCTTTAAGTCTTACATTTACTGGTGCTACATGGCATGAACCAGATCTGTTAACCTATCACTCTCTGTGGCAATAGAACCAAACTTGTCAATCCTGTAGAGTGTCTACAGTACCAGACATTTCTACAGCAGGAGAAACAGATCTGTCAACTTGTAAAGAGTCTACAGTACCAGACATTTCTAAAGCAGGAGAAACAGATCTGTCAATTTGTGAAATGTCTACAGTACCAGACATTTCTACAGCAGGAGAAACAGATCTGTCAACTTGTGAAATGTCTACAGTACCAGACATTTCTACAGCAGGAGAAACAGATCTGTCAACTTGTAAAGAGTCTACAGTACCAGACATTTCTACAGCAGGAGAAACAGATCTGTCAACTTGTAAAGAGTCTACAGTACCAGACATTTCTACAGCAGGAGAAACAGATATGTCAACTTGTAAAGAGTTTACAGTACCAGACATTTCTACAGCAGGAGAAACAAATCTGTCAACTTGTAAAGAGTCTACAGTACCAGACATTTCTACAGCAGGAGAAACAGATCTGTCAACTTGTAAAGAGTCTACAGTACCAGACATTTCTACAGCAGGAGAAACAAATCTGTCAACTTGTAAAGAGTCTACAGTACCAGACATTTCTACAGCAGGAGAAACAGATCTGTCAACTTGTAAAGAGTCTACAGTACCAGACATTTCTACAGCAGGAGAAACAAATCTGTCAACTTGTAAAGAGTCTACAGTACCAGACATTTCTACAGCAGGAGAAACAGATATGTCAACTTGTAAAGAGTTTACAGTACCAGACATTTCTACAGCAGGAGAAACAGATCTGTCAACTTGTAAAGAGTCTACAGTACCAGACATTTCTACAGCAGGAGAAACAAATCTGTCAACTTGTAAAGAGTCTACAGTACCAGACATTTCTACAGCAGGAGAGACAACTTGTAAAGTCTCACCTAAACAGTATATATATAATTTATATGGCTTTTCATACAATGTTCCAAATATGGTCATGTTTGGAGTCAGTCATATCAACTCAGAAATTTAATATCACAATCATATGTGAGAGATTTACAGGCAATAAAAACGATTGGAATAGGCCCAATCCTGGAGTTAGACAAGGATGAAATCGCTGTCCCCGTAAACATTACAAGTACAGGGACTATGAATTTCTTCCATTATCCATTTGCCATGACAATGATGTACGTCCAGGGCCTTCCAGTGAGTTGGTCGACGGTACACTCCATGTCCTTTACAACGCAGACCTGCCTCTTTGTCCATGGCGAAGGGTTGACACTCCACACACACTTTGTTTCCTGGCTGAAGTTTGTTGGCCCATGTTTTACCAAAGTCGGTTGTGTTACAGTGACGGTTCGACTCCACAATCTTGTAATGGCTGCAGTAACTGTAAATATTAATAACAGCATTATAATAACTTCTGGTTCTGTCACATCAATCACAATCAAGGTCATAATTCATGTAATCAAGGTCACATTTCATGTAATCAAGGTCACAATTTGTGTAATCAGAGGGATCTCAGCAGCCACCATTGTCTGATCTTTAGATTTTCTTTAAAATAGATCTTTCTCCTTCTTTTCACTTCTTTCCTGTTATTGCTCATAATTACAGGAAAACTGACAAATGGTCACCTGACTAATATTAACTGAACTGAAAAAAGTCATCACTTTGTAAGCAATATCTTTATCACTTTGTAAGCAATATCTTTATCACTTTATAAGTAATATCTTTATCACTTTATAAGTAATATCTTTATCACTTTATAAGTAATATCTTTATCACTTTATATGGTAAATTTCATCCCCTTCCCATGGGGGCATGTGAGACCTTGGGGTCATCAAGTTCACAATTTTGGTAATTTAAGCACCTTAAGATGCTTTCATCCAAGAACAGCATTTGATTCTGCCATATCTGGGTGTTTAGAGGAAGATTTTTTAAAATTTGAGCCAATTGATTCCTTTTGACCTCACCCATCTATTCCTTTGGGGTCACTGAGGATCACTATGTGCATACCATGAAGTTGTCATCCTTTGGTTTGGGAATATATCCGTTATAAATTAAAAAATTACTCAAATGCTCAAAAATGTAATTTTCCTGTATAAACTATAGCAAACTCAGGAGAAATATGAGACCCCAGGGTAATGAAATTCACAATGAAGACCATTTGATTCTCCCCTATATGGACTTTGAGAGACTTTTGAGAAATTGAAAATTTATAGTTTACAGACTCATGACTGATGACCCATGATGCTAGACAAAGACAATCGTAATAGGTCACTATGAGATTTTGTGTCATGTGACATTACACGAGATCTAAGAGGGATCTTGGTGCCTACCATTGTTTGATCTTTATATGTTCTTTTAAAGTTGGATCTTTTCCCTTCTTTTTTTTATTTTCTGCTTTTGCTCATAATTAAATAATCTTTAACCATTTTAAAGACAGTCACCTGTTAACATTTTTTGTTTTTCTAATCAGTCACAAGAACTAACAGGCACAATAAGGGACCAAGCCAGAGGAAGAGTGATCCATCCACTATATCACAAGAAATAGGGATAACAAACTTTCATTGTAAAAAATGACGGCAGTCTGTCGGCCATTTTGTGTTTCCAATCAAACTCAAAATCCAATTGGCTCAAGTAAGGACCAAGGGGAACTCACATATGAAATCTGAGAGAGATCTACCAGGTTCTAAAGAATTAGCAACCACAAACTTTCATTGTAAATATCCAAGATGGCCACCTGTTTTTCTGATTAGTCACAAAATCAGATAGACATTAACTGGGAACCAAGTGAAACCGAAAAAAACAAATTTCAGAAACTTCCATCAAAAATTTCATTGGTACACAAAATGCACTGATGTCATATGTACACAAACACTACTGATGTCATATGTACACAAACACTACTGATGTCATATTTACACAAACACTACTGATGTCATATATATGTACAGTACACAAACACTACTGATGTCATATGTACACCAACACTACTGATGTCATGTGTACACAAACACTACTGATGTCATATGTACAGTACACAAACACTACTGATGTCATATGTACACAAACACTACTGATGTCATATGTACACAAACACTACTGATGTTATATGTACAGTACACAAACACTACTGATGTCATATGTACAGTACACAAACACTACTGATGTCATATGTACACAAACACTACTGATGTCATATGTACACAAACACTACTGATGTCATATGTACAGTACACCAACACTACTGATGTCATATGTACACCAACACTACTGATGTCATATGTACACCAACACTACTGATGTCATATGTACACCAACACTACTGATGTCATATGTACACAAACACTACTGATGTCATATGTACACCAACACTACTGATGTCATATGTACACAAACACTACTGATGTTATATGTACAGTACACAAACACTACTGATGTCATATGTACAGTACACAAACACTACTGATGTCATATGTACACAAACACTACTGATGTCATATGTACACAAACACTACTGATGTCATATGTACAGTACACCAACACTACTGATGTCATATGTACACCAACACTACTGATGTCATATGTACACCAACACTACTGATGTCATATGTACACCAACACTACTGATGTCATATGTACACAAACACTACTGATGTCATATGTACACCAACACTACTGATGTCATATGTACACAAACACTACTGATGTTATATGTACAGTACACAAACACTACTGATGTCATATGTACAGTACACAAACACTACTGATGTCATATGTACACCAACACTACTGATGTCATATGTACACCAACACTACTGATGTCATATGTACACCAACACTACTGATGTCATATGTACACCAACACTACTGATGTCATATGTACACAAACACTACTGATGTCATATGTACACCAACACTACTGATGTCATATGTACACAAACACTACTGATGTTATATGTACAGTACACAAACACTACTGATGTCATATGTACAGTACACAAACACTACTGATGTCATATGTACACAAACACTACTGATGTCATATGTACACAAACACTACTGATGTCATATGTACAGTACACCAACACTACTGATGTCATATGTACACCAACACTACTGATGTCATATGTACACCAACACTACTGATGTCATATGTACACCAACACTACTGATGTCATATGTACACAAACACTACTGATGTCATATGTACACCAACACTACTGATGTCATATGTACACAAACACTACTGATGTTATATGTACAGTACACAAACACTACTGATGTCATATGTACAGTACACAAACACTACTGATGTCATATGTACACAAACACTACTGATGTCATATGTACACAAACACTACTGATGTCATACATGTAGATACATAAACATTTCTGGTGTCATATTTAAACACACACAACCCTAATGTTTATGTTGTGGGGTTCTGTCGATCTCTTGTACACCAACTTTGTGCTGTGGATGTGTGAACACACAGAATGACTATAACCAAGGTGTTGTTGTTTCATTTTTGCCCTTGTTTGAGTTGTATACAGATAACTCCAGTCTACTCTGTGATCTGTGAGGTACCCACTACATGTAAAGTACATTAACTCATTAAATACCTGTTTATCATCATGACCTCTGACCTCTCAATGATAAATCTCAGCAAACAACAACCACTAACACTGAGACAAAAAATAACACCGTCCTCATATTCTGCGGTGGTAAGTTTTATCAGAGAGAGACATCCCCATATCCTTTAGGCTCAACTTCTACATGTGTGTACACAGTTTGAGGAAAAGAAAATGTGTTATTTAAAATCAAAATAAATAAGCTTGACATCAATAAATACTTCTATGATAATACTAAGCTAATTCATACATGTTTTTGTGACAAATCCTGACAGGAGTTCACTTACATTTGTTTTTGTGTCAAGTCCAAATAGGAGCTAATTTACATGTATTCTGGTGAAAATCTAGACAGGAGCCAATTTACTATGTTTTTGTGACATATCCTTTCAGGGTGTAATGTACACGTTCTTGTGACAAAATCCTGGAAGAGTTATTATCAAATCCAGGGAGATAAGAGTCCAAAGAAAATGAGATAACTAAGTCAAAAGCAGTATCATACAACAATCTCACTTGTTTTCGTGAGCCATGTGTCTATGGTTTACATACATGGAGTTTAAGAGAACTTATTAAAAGATTTCATTCCTTAAGATTAAGGATACTTATAAGTAAGTGAAACTGAAAAGCATTATAAAGAACAATTCTGTGAGGACAGTATTAATGAGAAGAATATTCACTGGACAGAAAAGCAGCAGAGCAGAAATATACCAAGTTAATAAAAGAAGCAAACAATTATGTAGATGATGAGGTAGAATTAAACTGCAGCCTTGTAATTACCACCAATTACTGTCAGTGCTGCCACCACAGACTTCTACACCTGTTAGACACACCACACATGGCTTCAACATGCCTTAACATATAATTCAGCTATACTACACATTCTGTAACTAATAACAAGTGTCAGATTTTGTCAGATTATATAATTGTCTAGCTCTCCGTCTGGTATCTAATACTTCCTCTTGTATCTATAAGTTGATCTGGTATCTAGTATTCCCCCTGGTATCTAGTACTCCCCCCTGGTATCTAGTACTCCCCCTGGTATCTAGTACTCCCCCTGGTATCTAGTACTCCCCCCTGGTATCTAGTACTCCCCCCTGGTATCTAGTGCTCCCCTCTGGTATCTAGTACTCCCCCCTGGTATCTAGTACTCAACCTGGTATCTAGTGCTCCCCTCTGGTATCTAGTACTCCCCCCTGGTATCTAGTACTCAACCTGGTATCCAGTACTCTCCCCTGGTATCTAGTACTCCCCTCTGGTATCTAGTACTCCCCCCTGGTATCTAATACTCAACCTGGTATCTAGTACTCCCCCCTGGTATCTAGTACTCCCTCTGGTATCTAGTACTCCCCCTGGTATCTAGTACTCCCCTCTGGTATCTAGTACTCCCCACTGGTATCTAGTACTCAACCTGGTATCCAGTACTCCCCTCTGGTATCTAGTACTCCCCTCTGGTATCTAGTACTCAACCTGGTATCTAGTACTCCCCCCTGGTATCTAGTACTCCCCCCTGGTATCTAGTACTCCCCCTGGTATCTAGAACTCCCCCTTGTACTCCCCCTGGTATCTAGTACTCCCCCTGGTATCTAGAACTCCCCCTTGTACTCCCCCTGGTATCTAGTACTCCCTCTGGTATCTAGTACTCCCCCCTGGTATCTAGTACTCCCCCTGGTATCTAGTACTCCCCCTGGTATCTAGTACTCCCCCTGGTATCTAGTACTCCCTCTGGTATCTAGTACTCCCCTCTGGTATCTAGTACTCCCCCTGCTATCTAGAACTCCCCCTTGTACTCCACCTGGTATCTAGAACTCCCCCCTGGTATCTAGTACTCAACCTGGTATCTAGTACTCCCCCCTGGTATCTAGTACTCCCCCCTGGTATCTAGTACTCCCCCTGGTATCTAGAACTCCCCCTTGTACTCCCCCTGGTATCTAGAACTCCCACTTGTACTACCCCTGGTATCTAGAACTCCACCTTGTACTCCCCCTGGTATCTAGTACTCCCCCTGGTATCTAGTATTCCCTCTGGTATCTAGTACACCTTCTAGCATCTAGAACTCCCCCTTGTACTCCCCCTGGTATCTAGTACTCCCTCTGGTAACTAGTACTCCCCCCTGGTATCAAGTACTCCCCCCTGGTATCTAGTACTCCCCCCTGGTATCTAGTACTCCCCCTGGTATCTAGTACTCCCCCCTGGTATCTAGTACTCCCCCTGGTATCTAGTACTCCCCTCTGGTATCTAGTACTCCCCTCTGGTATCTAGTACTCCCCTTTGTTATCTGGTACTCCCTTATACTTGGTTGAGATCTATCTCTGTAGGTGAGTATGTGACTTATATGGGTTGAGATCTATCTCTGTATCTAGAACTCCCCCTTGTCTGAGATCTATCTCTGTAGGTGAGTATATGACTTATACTTGTCTGAGATCTATCTCTGTAGGTGAGTATGTGACTTATATTCGGTTGAGATCTATCTCTGTAGGTGAGTATATGACTTATACTTGTTTGAGATCTATCTCTGTAGGTGAGTATATGACTTATACTTGTTTGAGATCTATCTCTGTAGGTGAGTATATGACTTATACTTGTTTGAGATCTATCTCTGTAGGTGAGTATATGACTTATACTTGTTTGAGATCTATCTCTGTAGGTGAGTATATGACTTATACTTGTCTGAGATCTATCTCTGTAGGTGAGTATGTGACTTATATTCGGTTGAGATCTATCTCTGTAGGTGAGTATATGACTTATACTTGTTTGAGATCTATCTCTGTAGGTGAGTATGTGACTTATATTCGGTTGAGATCTATCTCTGTAGGTGAGTATATGACTTATACTTGTTTGAGATCTATCTCTGTAGGTGAGTATATGACTTATACTTGTTTGAGATCTATCTCTGTAGGTGAGTATATGACTTATACTTGTTTGAGATCTATCTCTGTAGGTGAGTATATGACTTATACTTGTTTGAGATCTATCTCTGTAGGTGAGTATATGACTTATACTTGTTTGAGATCTATCTCTGTAGGTGAGTATATGACTTATACTTGTTTGAGATCTATCTCTGTAGGTGAGTATATGACTTATACTTGTCTGAGATCTATCTCTGTAGGTGAGTATGTGACTTATATTCGGTTGAGATCTATCTCTGTAGGTGAGTATGTGACTTATACTTGTTTGAGATCTATCTCTGTAGGTGAGTATATGACTTATACTTGTTTGAGATCTATCTCTGTAGGTGAGTATGTGACTTATATTCGGTTGAGATCTATCTCTGTAGGTGAGTATATGACTTATACTTGTCTGAGATCTATCTCTGTAGGTGAGTATGTGACTTATATTCGGTTGAGATCTATCTCTGTAGGTGAGTATGTGACTTATATTCGGTTGAGATCTATCTCTGTAGGTGAGTATGTGACTTACGCTGGTCGGACAGGAACCTCATTACTGACTCTAGAAAAGAGATTTTTCCTGATGTCCTGATTTGGGTCATACTGTTTGTCGGTCCTGAAAATTCCAAACTCAGCTGGGAGAATTTTTCCTATTTCTGAAATTACAGAAAAAAATGCAGGTACATTAATATATAATGTTAGAAGTTATGTTAAGCTAGCTGGAGAAAAGAATTTATTCAATGCAAGTTTGCCAGGTTTTTTTACCTCATCACTGTGCAACAAGACTGTACGACCCCTTACTGGATTATCTTTCAATTCCCATGGCCAAAGCATGCTATTACAATTTGGTTGGAATCATCCCAATAATTTGAGAGGAGATGTGTCATTCCAATTTAAAACAAATCAGCCGCTTTGATCCTCTTTACAATCCTGCCCCCTCCAAACACCTTGGAGGTTCAGGCACATCTAGTACCATCACTAAAGGATAAATATCTTCAACATTATTTTATGAAATGTCAGCCTATTTTTACATTACAAATCTTCATGGTTATAAACAAGATATCCCATGGTGATCCTGATGCCCACCATTGGAAATCTTTATTTCTCAGAGGGATCTTGGTTCCCACCATTAAAAATCTTTATTTCTCAGAGGCATCTTGTTTCCCACCATTAAAAATCTTTATTTCTCCGAGGGATCTTGTTTCTCACCATTAAAAATCTTTATTTCTCAGAGGGATCTTGTTTCCCACCATTAAAAATCTTCATTTCTCAGAGGGATCTTGTTTCTCACCATTAAAAATCTTCATTTCTCAGAGGGATCTTGTTTCCCACCATTAAAAATCTTTATTTTAAAAATCTTTATTTCTCAGAGGGATCTTGTTTCCCACCATTAAAAATCTTCATTTCTCAGAGGGATCTTGTTTCTCACCATTAAAAATCTTCATTTCTCAGAGGGATCTTGTTTCTCACCATTAAAAATCTTCATTTCTCAGAGGGATCTTGTTTCCCACCATTAAAAATCTTTATTTCTCAGAGGGATCTTGTTTCTCACTATTAGGTGATCTTTACTGATTCTATACAAGAATGATCTTGTCTCTATTTTCTTCTTTTCCCCTTAAACATTTGAGATTACTGCATATGAAACATACGATCTAACATGAACTTCAGGAGAAATAGCAATAAACTTCAACTGCCAAATTAATGATAAGTTTCTCTTATCTGTCATTGAAACAGCATGATAAACTAAGGGCCAGGGAAACCCACACATCAAGTTGGAGAAATATCTCTGCCGTATATTTTAAAAAAAAGAGCAACAACAAACTTCAACTGTCAAAATCCAAGATGGATGCCTGTCGGCCATATTGTTTCTCTGATCAGACTCACATTAAATAAGCAAAGTTAGTAACAGAGGGAAACCAGAAATTGATTAAAGATGGTCAAAGCTCACCTAATAAAATATAAGGAACTCTCATCTTCTCACATTAATATTTTTTTAAGAACAGTGACAATGTGTTTCGATAATGAGGCTACATAACAAAAATAAGAGCACAACATCATGATGGAGAGAAAAGACAGAGTGAGTTTGTTTCTTGTTTATCGTAAAATCTGTTAGCAGCCATGATAAGATGATTCTTTAAAGCATAAATCTACAAGATACATGTAATACAGAAAGATACTGACAACAGAACTAACACAGAATCCAGTACAATGTTCAGTCTGAAAAGTTTCTCATGTTTTCATCGTTACATGTCTTATCTACAAAGCATCATTGGATTTGAAGGCTAATTATAGCTGCCTAATTTGCATATTATCTTGTCAGTCTCACATTAAGATCACATAATGATTTCCTTCATTAATCATGTAATAAGGAATCTTTCAAAACTCAGTGATTTATAGCATTGAATTAGGAATATAGACTTAACTCCGTGGAATACAGTATTCATTTAGGAATATAGACTTAACTCCGTGGAATACAGTATTCATTTAGGAATATAGACTTTAACTCCGTGGAATACAGTATTCATTTAGGAATATAGACTTAACTCCGTGGAATACAGTATTCATTTAGGAATATAGACTTTAACTCCGTGGAATACAGTATTCATTTAGGAATATAGACTTAACTCCGTGGAATACAGTATTCATTTAGGAATATAGACTTTAACTCCGTGGAATACAGTATTCATTTAGGAATATAGACTTAACTCCGTGGAATACAGTATTCATTTAGGAATATAGACTTTAACTCCGTGGAATACAGTATTCATTTAGGAATATAGACTTAACTCCGTGGAATACAGTATTCATTTAGGAATATAGACTTTAACTCCGTGGAATACAGTATTCATTTAGGAATATAGACTTTAACTCCGTGGAATACAGTATTCATTTAGGAATATAGACTTAACTCCGTGGAATACAGTATTCATTTAGGAATATAGACTTTAACTCCGTGGAATACAGTATTCATTTAGGAATATAGACTTAACTCCGTGGAATACAGTATTCATTTAGGAATATAGACTTTAACTCCGTGGAATACAGTATTCATTAAGGAATATAGACTTTAACTCCGTGGAATACAGTATTCATTTAGGAATATAGACTTAACTCCGTGGAATACAGTATTCATTTAGGAATATAGACTTTAACTTGTACTTTAAACAATTACATTGGAAACTAGATATTTTCTTCATTGGAGAAGTTTTAACAAATTTGACCCTTGTGACCTTGGGCCTATTGTTTTTCAACAGTTATGAAACACTTATACCAACTTATTTATATACATGGTCAGTCAGATGGATGGTAGATTTGAAAAAAGTGTTGTTCATGTTTGACCAACAGAAAAATTAATACACACATATAAAAGATATTTTGTGAACAAATCAAATGAGATGAAAAATTTATGAATTACTGGTACCACAATACTGAGGCCTCACACAGAACAGATTTTAAAAAGTCAGAATCCCTACCTCAACATAAACCATATGTTTTATACACTCAGCACATGCTATCTACCAAATTCTGTTCTGTTTTTGCCATTACAGATGTGTAATCACTGGTTATAGGGATATTCTGGGCTATGTAAACACAGACTTGATGCTCAATCCCAACTTTTTCAAAAGTTAAATGTTGAAATTAATGGTGGTTAGGAATGCCATCACGCACTTCAAATGTGTACCGACAGAAATTAGGGAAACACAAAAATCTCTGCTTGTCACAGATTTATGGTATTACAAGGGAAACATAACAATCTCTCAGTGACACAGATTTACACTGTTACAGGGGACACATAACAATCCCTCAGTGACACAGATTTACACTGTTACAGGGGAAACATAACAATCCCACAGTGACACAGATTTACACTGTGTTACAGGGGACACATAACAATCCCTCAGTGACACAGATTTACTGTTACAGGGGACAAATAACAATTTTCTCAATGACATAGAGTTACACTGTGTTACAGGGGACACATAACAATCTCTCAGTGACACAGATTTACACTGTGTTAAAGGGGACACATAACAATCCATCAGTGACATAGAGTTACACTGTGTTACAGGGGACACATAACAATCTCTCAGTGACACAGATTTACACTGTGTTACAGGGGACACATAACAATCTCTCAGTGACACAGATTTACACTGTGTTACAGGGGACACATAACAATTCCTCAGTGACACAGATTTACACTGTGTTACAGGGGACACATAACAATCCCTCAGTGACACAGATTTACACTGTGTTACAGGGGACACATAACAATCCCTCAGTGACACAGATTTACACTGTGTTACAGGGGACACATAACAATCCCTCAGTGACACAGATTTACACTGTTACAGATACTCTTGTGCTGCTTAGTTGTACAAAATGCTTAGTATAACAGGAAATGAAGAGAGGTTTGGCCTGTTTCATGAGCTTGTTTGTCCGTGAGAAATTTATGTTAAATGTCTGAATTATTATCTCTCTAAAGTAAACTTTTAGGGAAGTTAGGAAGGTTGAAGGTATCATAGGACTACATTTTACATTATACAGGTCAAGGGTCACAATAAAGGTCATGAAATATGACTTGTAGAGTTGTGACTTCAAAAATTCTGTTAATTTCTATTATCGTTAGAGCTATTTATAGTAACAGCAACCTACTTTCTGACCACAGAAGATTGAAAAGAGTTAATGTTTGTGAATGAAATTCAACCTGCAGAGCAATGACGTCAAAACTTCTGTCAATTTTTCTTTACAAGAACAGTGATCGGGCGAGGGACAGCAGAAGGTTGAAACACAAACATGTATGAGAGGTGATGTTAGTGAAGCCTTGTGTAAAGTTTCATGACAATTGGAAAATAACTGCAGTCTGAACGGCACTGTCAAGCAGCTGTGACCTATTTTTTGACAGCACAAGAGGTTATATTAGTGAGCAACTATGTAAAGTTTCATGACAATCATATCTGCTTTCTGTAGAATCATTGGTGACACATACTTAGGTACAATGAGATCCCTCTATACCTACACAACAGTATAAAAGCAGCCTTATTTAGGTTAGAGTGCAAATTTAAACTCAACAGTAATTTTTCAGTCTGCAACACCTGTAGGGAATTTTAAGTACTGGAATGGACTTTCTACCAAATCCCTTTTTATAAACAACACTAACAATGTGTATACAGACAGGTAAAGTTGTCTGAGTCAACCACAGCCAAACTTCTCAGTTTCATACCTGCCACCCACCAGGATCAAATAACTTAAAATTCCATGATAATTTCTACTGCCGATCAAATAACATATAATTTGGTGCTTTAATAGAATTTTTTTAATGTGATTTTTTTTCCTTCAAACAATTTTGCAATAGTATTATTTATTAAATTTCAAGCATTCAGTGCCTGCTTTATCCAATAAACACACCAAGGAGAAAGACTTGCTAATCTAACTCAGCATTTTTAGAGAATGACAAAATCTTGTCAAGAATGTAACACCTGTTGATGTAGGCCAGGTAACTGACCTGAGATTAACGAAGCACACCTTAACACAAATGTCCAGGGGTCTAGTTCCCTCAGGGACAAAGACAGCGGACATGTTCACTACACTCTGACCTTGTCTAATTGTTTCTGTCCCTGTTATGGTGACAATGATGTTGACTTGCTTTGTGTCA